TTAGTTAACTGTAGAGTATCGTGTATAAAGTATCAAAGTGCTTTGCTTTCTATTTTTGGTTGGTTTATTTTGATTTTCATATGATTCTATACTTTTTTTAGACAAAACAAACAAACTTACTTGGGCGGTTACCCAGGCTTTTTTTTTTACGATAAACCTGTTATTTCATGCATGACCATCGCATCCGCACTACGGATGCGTTATTGGAATCGCATCCGCACTACGGATGCGTTATTAGAATCGCATCCGCACTACGGATGCGAAAACTTTATCTTTACCTTATTACTTTAGAGAAACCTTTGGATTACCAAATGCATTACCTCAAAACTATAAATGATTATAGTTTTTGCGATTTGTTAGAAAATAAACTTTTCCTCTCCCATATGACCACTGTTTATGGCACCCCCCACCCAAAACGCCCCCTTTTCTTTCACACCTCAACTACATACACAAATGTGCCTCGGCTGCATACACACACTTTAAATATATCTACCTCAACTACCCACACATCAACTACCCACACATCAACTACCCACGCCTCGACTACTCACACATAGACTACCCACATATCGACTACCCACACATCGACTACTCACACATTGACTACCCACACATCGACTACTCACACACACATCTCTCTTATAATAAATTCATAACCTATATAACCATATAAAAAATAATAAATCATATTTTATTTTAGTTATTTAAAGATATTAAAATAAATAAGATATGCGAGTAGGGAGAGACCAAGTTAATTTGTTTGAAGTGAAAGGGACAAGAAGAATGAGAGTACAGAGTATAAGAAATATATGTTTCTTTTTTTTAAAAATATAGGTTTGAGGATTATGTTGTGCATCTATAAAGAGAGATTACTATGGCAGGACTTTGTGTTAGACAATGGCTGTTTGGTCTAGAACTGAATATTTAAAGATATACTAAAAGTAAGAATTTTTAAAAATTATGTGTGATAGGATGGGGTCATTTTCATTGAAGAAGGTGTTGAAGGTATAAGTATATAGATATCATGTGCATGCGAAAGTAAAAAGACAGTTCTGAGAATAGTAGTATATGTCACTTCAGATATAAAAGAACAGAGTATATGGGTTCCGAGTGCTGAAGTTTGATTATATGGTTATTATTTTTATTTTTATTTTTCAGTAGTGATAAAATAAGAAATATAGTATGATTGGTATTGGCGACTTTGAAAGCAGTGCGAAGTTGTTGTTGGTACAGGGTTGAAAAAAGAAAAGAATAGAGTGGCGATGACTGTCGACTTTGAGAGCAGTGCGAAGTTGTTGTTAGTACAGGGTTGAAAAAAGAAAACAATAGAGTGGCGATGACTGTCGCCTTTGAACGCAGTGCGAAGTTGTTGTTGGTACAGGGTTGAAAAAAGAAAAGAATAGAGTGGCGATGACTGTCGACTTTGAGAGCAGTGCGAAGTTGTTGTTAGTACAGGGTTGAAAAAAGAAAACAATAGAGTGGCGATGACTGTCGCCTTTGAACGCAGTGCGAAGTTGTTGTTGGTACAGGGTTGAAAAAAGAAAACAATAGAGTGGCGATGACTGTCGCCTTTGAACGCAGTGCGAAGCTTATAGGGACACGAAGGTTTGACCAAGGGCTTATTTTTTGTTAGAGCCGCATATACAGTGAACAGTCGTCAAAAAGATAAAATAAAGAGTATTTCATTTTTTATTTTATTTTTCAAAAGAGTGCGCTTCCTTTTCGTATTGCGTCGCTTTTGGTCCACTTTGAGTTGCAATACAATATGAATGACGATCCTCAACAGGAATGAAGATCCTCGACTGGGATGGCGGAATGTCGAAAGAAGATTCAAGCCATCGTTAAAATTTTTTTTTTGTTTTGGTTACAGCACAGTGAAGGGGTTTTGAATACATAGTCCTCTCTCAACGATTGTAAGTGAGTATCATACGGTCTTTAAACCTTCGTATGGGTAAAAGTATCCCTGTCAATGAACCCTGCTATGATTCTTTCACTTGTGAGTACACAAAGGGTGTCTGCACTACCAATCAGTAATACCAGTTTACAAAATAAGACTTTTGTTTGTAGGAAGTCGTAGGCTCTAATTTACCAATGAGCCTCTACACAGTCTACAAGAAGACATAAAAAGCAAACCACCTTATACTCTATATTTTATAATGGTACAGCCAAGATATCGGTGGACAAGCTGGTTTGTGCGTCTATATGTGAAGAAAGACTGGGATGTATGCACTGCACATATATACCTTGGAGACAGGAATTTAACCCCCAAAAAAAATGCCCTTATTAATTTAAATTTTCCCATTTTTTTTTTCTTTTTTACTTCTTTACACCAATTTACTATCATAATTTTAATTAATAAATCTGAAACAAAGACTTCAAGTATGCTATTTAATGGAACACATAAAAAGTATCCTATGTATTTTTCTTTTCTCTTAAAGGGCAATATAAAATATCATGACATATGTTACACAGCCATCCATTTCAAGAGTGTCTGCCAAAGTCATTGCCTTTTTTTTTGGAAAAAAGATTGTGGCTTTATTTGTACTCCACTCTTTGCTTCCAGCGTATGCTTGTAATGTCAGAATATAGGACGGCTTTCTTCATATAAACGTTTATACAAGCTGATATTCTGTTATGTAGAGCATATATAGATATATAGCTATTCTATAATGTCTCTTATGCTAAATAATATTCTCTTTTCTTTAAAAAAAATATCTCTAACTTTTGAACACTCCAAATTGATGCCTTTTGGAGTGTCTGGTTTATGTATTCAACTAAAAAAAAATTGTACTTTTAGAAACAACTCGTATTTTTGCTATTGGGCATTTAAAGAGCTTATTGAAGTGGTGCAAGTTTCCCGAATTTCAGGGTTCTATGCTTTTTGAGAGTGAAAAAATCGGATATTTTGATCAAAATTTGAGTAATTGTAATATAATAAACCTCGAAGAGGTGGATCACAATGTGTCTCACCAGGTTACTTAAAGCCAAAAAAAAACATTGCTTATTTGATTCGATTTTTAATTTTCTATAATTGAAAAGCTATGATTCCCATTGGTGTGCATTTGCATATGCTTGTAGAAATCTTAAAAAATATCATTTCCAGTACACTCATATTTAATCGACCATAGAAAAGGTTCATTTATACAAAGGCTTCGTGCTTCAAACTAAAATAGTCTCAAGCGAACCAAAGCTAGACTATGAACCTCAAAGTAATAAGTGGAATCATACTATACAGTACTGTAGCGCATTATATTGTATTACAAAACAAAAGTTATAAATCAAAGCCTTTAATCCAACAGAGTATTATTTCTAGGTTATTCGTGCATCCAGTTGAGTTTGGTATACAAGCGCAAAATATCAAAAGCACTAGATCCTATAAATCGATAATTAGTAATCGATAGCGTCTTGCTCCCAACCAAACAAAACCTATACGTTCAGTAGCAGTAGATTGTCTCTTTGCTTTCATATTGTGCCGTCAGTCAGTCTGAGCAATAACAGAAAAAAATAGTAAATAAGCAGAGCCTTTAAAAGGTGATTTATATATATGTAATAGCCATTTTACTAGCTTGATCTATCTGTGACCAGGCTAGCACAATTGCAAGCACCACTACTTTTTCATGGCGTATAATGTAACTTATATAAATAATTATAATTATCGATAGAATGGTGTATATTTGAACACATATAAATGTAAAGTGTTTCAGGCAGTTGGGTTATGCTGTATTAATTTCTCAGTTGGATTATGATTGGTTTATAAAGTAGTACAAACCAAGGTCGATTGACAAACACTAGGCTAGACCCTGTTCTTCTTTTTACTTTTATTTTACTCTAAGAACGATGCTTTAACTTGAGGTCCCAACGACTTTCAATAGTCAGGCTGTCAATCCCTTCATACTGAAGCACTGAAAGTACTTTTATTTCAAGAAAGTATTCCTACACTTTGTGTTTATTAACTCAAGACACTGGTGAAAAAGCTAGAAGAAAAATGGAAGTCTTTCACACGAAAGAAAAGAAAAGATATAAGCAGCAATTTTTTTCGGGGGTGCTTCTTAAACTAATAAAGTCACAGCATGTGAAACAAACAAACAAGAAAACAAACAAATAAATATACACAAGACTTTAATTAAAGCTTTATAATCAACACAACTTTACACTTCTTTATTGTAGTTTAACGTCTAGCCGATTAATACTTTGTATATCAGTAGTACAGCTAAAATGAACACAGAGGCATATATAGTGTCTCGACAAGTGGCTGTTCAAAAGCATAAGCCTTGTTAACAGAATCACAACAGAAAGTAGAATAAAAAAGGGGATGGGGGTCCATAGCAACTGAATAATTTGACATGCATATAGTCCACCAATCGGAAGACATCATTTAAATGTTTTCATGCTAAAGTAAAGTCTGGACCACTATTGCTACTATGCTCCTCTAAGCCCCATGACACATGTGATGCTGCACGGACAGCACGGACCTTATGTGACATAAAAAGAACTAAAACAAAAAAAGAGGCAAAAGAAAAAAACAAAAAGTAAAACAAGTGCCTGCACAGCACGTCCTTCAGAATATAAGTGATACTTCTTTAAAACCCAAAACCCATATTTTAAGCATAGATATTAAATAAAGAAGTAAAATAGTAATAATATATACATGCTGTCAAGGCTAAAAGATAAAAGAAAACCGAAAAAGGAATAAGAAAAAAACCGAATTTTATAATATATTATCAAACTATCATAATAAAAATAATAAAAAAGAACAGCAACTCATGATTGAGACGTCATGAGTTTTATAAAAAAAAAACACCTATCCAAACAGAACGCGTCAAAACAACTCTCTTCCACATACCATTAATACTTTATACACTTCTTTACTGCTCTCTCACAAACTGCTTTAATCAACATAGACGTTAAAGACGAATCATGACCAATACAAATCCATTTTGCTAGTCAAATCTCAGGCTTTTATCATATGTAAAACAGTCAGTAGCAAGATATAAGACAACATGTCAAAGCCAGTACACAGCAAAAATGAAATACTGAGGTCCAACACTGGTTTGACCATCAATCCATCCAAAGCCTATTCACGCTCAGAAACAAGAGATAAACTGACAGGACTTACTATATTTCAAGGAGTATATGATATTTATCAAAGACACACATTGTGAAGATTATATTTGTCTAGTCTTTTGACAAACAAGGTCAACGATAAAAAATAAGATCTCCATCCAGGCCTACAGGTATATAAAGGCTCGTTGATTAATCATTCACTGTCTTTGATATTTCTGTAGGGACTTTTCAGGCAAAGTCAAGCAATCAAGAACAGGTTTCCATCCAGGGCCACAGGTACACCAAGACTCGAGGAGCATATGCTCATTGTCTTTTGTATGCTTCTAGTGCCTTCCGTCCAGGTCAAGCATCAGGGATCCGATCAGAGTCCACAGTTATCAGGTATATCAAAACTCTATGAGCAGTTACTCACTTGTTTTTGTATATTTGTAGTATCCATTCCGTCCAGGTCAAGCTTCAAGGTTCAGGTCAAGGTCCACGGTTTCACGTATATCAAAACTCGATGAGCAGTTACTCAATTGTTTTTGTATATTTCTAGTATCCATTCCATCCAAGTCAAGCTTCAAGGTTCAGGTCAAGGTCAACGGGTTCAGGTCGAGGTCGACGGTTTTCAGGTATATCAAAACTCGATGGGCATTTACTCAGTTGTTTTTGTATATTTGTAGTATCCATTCCGTCCAGGTCAAGCTTCTAGGTTCACGTCAAGGTCCACGGTTTTCAGATCAAGGTCCACGGTTTCAGGTATATCAAAACTCGATGAGCAGTTACTCACTTGTTTTTGTATATTTGTAGTATCCAATCCATCTAGGAAAAGCATCAATGTTCCGATCTCCCAGCTATGGTCATAGGTATAACAAAACCATATGCGCATTTACTCACTAGCTTTTATCTATTACTAGTGTCAGCCATCCAGGTCAAGTGTCAAGGACCCGATTTCCCGGCAATGGGTATAGGTATAACAAATCGTTGTGGGAATATACTCACTAGTTATAATATATTTATAGTGTTCAGCCATCAATGTCAGGCGTCAAGGTTGCGATCTTCCAGCCAAGGTTATAGGTATAACAAAACATTATGGAAATATACTCACTGGTCTTAATATGTTTTTAGTGTTCACTCATCCAGGTCAATCAACAGGATTCTGATCTCCCGTCCATGGTTATAGGTATAACAAATCGTTGTGGGAATATACTCACTAGTTTTAATATATTTATAATGTTTAGTCATCGATGTCAGGCGTCAAGGTTGCGATCTTCCAGCCAAGGTTATAGGTATAACAAAACATTATGGAAATATACTCACTGGTCTTAATATGTTTTTAGTGTTCACTCATCCAGGTCAATCAACAGGATTCTGATCTCCCGTCTATGGTTATAGGTATAACAAATCGTTGTGGGAATATACTCACTAGTTTTAATATATTTATAATGTTTAGCCATCGATGTTAGGCGTCAAGGTTCCGATCTTCCAGCCATGGTTCTAGGTATATCAAAACAATAGGGAAATATACTCAATGGTTTTATTATGTTTTTAGTGTTCAGTCATCCAGGTCAATCAACAGGATTCTGATCTCCCGTCCATGGTTATAGGTATAACAAAACGTTATGGGAATATAATCACTAGTTTTAATATATTTCTAGTGTTTAGCTATCCATGTCAAGCGTCCAGGTTCCGATCTCCCAACCATGTTTACAGGTATAACAAAACGTTATGCGCATTTACTCGTATGCTTTTATCTATTACTAGTGTTCAGCCATCTAGGTCAAGTGTCAAAATTCCGATTGCCCGCCCATGGTTAAAGGTATAAAAAACATTATGGGCATATATTGACTAGTTTTTATATTTATTTGTGAACTCCAGCCATCCGTGTCAAGCGTCAAGGACCCGATCGCCTGTCCATGGTTATAGGTATAAAAACATTATGAGCGTATACTCATTAGTTTTTATATTTATTTAAGTCTCCAGCCATCCGTGTCAAGCATCAAGAACCCGATCCCCCGTCCATGGTTATAGGTATAAAAACATTATGGGCAAATACTTACTAGCTTTTATCTATTTCTAGTCTCCAGTCATCAATGTGAAGCGGCAAGGACCCGATCGACCGTTAATGGTTATAGGTAAAAAAAAACCATTAGGGACATATACACACTAGCTTTTATCTATCTCTAGTCTCTAGTTATCCAGGACAAGCATCACGGTTTCGATCTCCCAGCTATGGTTATAGGTATAACAATACATTATGCGCATTTACTCACTAGCTTTATTATAGTTCAAGTCTCCAGCCATCCAGGACAAGCATCAAGGTTCCGATCTCCCAGCTATGGCTATAGGTATAACAAAACGTTATGCGCATATACTCACTAGCGTTAATATATGTCTAGTGTTCAGTCATCCAGGTCAAGCATCTAGGTTCTGATCGCCAATCCATGGTTAAAGGTATAAAACAACATTATGGGTGTATACTCACTAGTTTTAATCTAGTTCTAGTCTCCAGCCATCCAGGTCAAGCATCAAGGTTCTACTCGCCCGTCCATGGTGGTAGGTATAACAAAATGTTATGGGCATATATTCACTAGCTGTAATATACTTCTTGTGTTCAGTTTTCCAGATCAAGCATCAAGGTTCTGATCTCCCCGCCATAGTTATAGGTATAAAAAAACATTATGGGCATATACTCACTAGATTTAATATATCTCCAGTCTCCAGCTATCCAAATCAAGCATCAAGATTCCGATCTCCCCGCCATGGTTATAGGTATAAAAAAACATTATGGGAATATACTCACTAGCTGTAATATACTTCTTGTGTTCAGTTTTCCAGATCAAGCATCAAGATTCCGATCTCCCCGCCATGGTTATAGGTATAAAAAAACATTATGGGCATATACTCACTAGATTTAATATATCTCCAGTCTCCAGCTATCCAGGTCAAGCATCAAGATTCCCATCTCCCCGCCATGGGTATAGGTATAAAAAGCATTATGGGCATATACTCATTATTTTAATCTAGTTCTAGTCTCCGGCCATCCAGGTCGAGCTTCGTGCTGATCTCCCGTTATATGATTATAGATATAACAAAAATCGATGAGCAATCACACTCGGCTTTATTTATTTCTAGTGTTGAATCCACCAAGATCATGCTTCACGGATCCGGATTCAGTCCGTGGCTATAGGTATACAAAAACTCGATGAGCAATTACTCATTGGATTTTATATATTTCTAGTGTCTACTCATCCACGGCAATTATCGGGATCCGATTTTCATGAATTGTTATAGCTAACCAAGTTTCCTTTAAACCTTTACTTAAAACAAACTGTACTCTTTATTTATACTTTCTTTTGATGGCAAAGAACGATGATCAAATATACATCCATTATGGAGGGTATACAAGTCGTTCTTGGCCATTACTAGCCTAGAAGTATATATGACTATTGTTTTTACTCTCCAGGCCAAACAGCAAGGATCAAAACTCAAATTTGGGCTACAGGTAAACAAGTCTTCTTGAGCTTTTACTTACTGTCATTTATATATTTCTAGTGTTTTTTTTCCTTAAAGTTCAAATATCAAAGATCTGATTTCAAATCAAGGTTACGGGTACACACTTTTCTCTCTGTCTTTACATGCTTTCTTTCGTATTGGCCTAGTGTGTTTACGATCCGGCTACACAATGAAAAATTTCTTTTCCTTCCAGTGCGACAGGTATATACATCTAGTTCGGCCTTTAGTTACTGTTGGCTTTATTTCTCTACTGGCTTCACAGTCCAAGCCAGCAATCATGGATCCTATATCCGTTCAGTGTTACAGGTATACACTTCTCTTTGGGATTTTACTTACTGTCGGTTTTAATTTTCTACTGTCCTTAAGATCAAGGCCAACGACCAATCATCTGGTATCCGCCGAGAATTACAGATATAAAAATGTTATTGGGTCGTTACTTATAATTGTGTTTGTTTCTCTAGTGTCCTTGCAGTCAAGGGTAATGAGCAAGAACCCGGTCTCCATATTGGGATATAGTGTTACACATCTCTTTGATTTTTGACTTGCTGCAAACTGTATTTTTTCTTGTGACTTTACAGTCAAATTCAACACTCAAGGATCCGGTTTCCATCAAGTTTTACAGGTATACAAATCTGACAAGTGCTTTTATTTAATGTGTCTTTTTTTTTGTCAAGTGCCTTTACTGTCTATGCCAATGATTCCGAATCCGAGCCCTATCCAGAGTGACAGGTATACAAATATGTTTGCGTCTTTACTAACTTTTAGTTTTATATGTCTAGTGCCTATACGGTTTAGGCCAAAGAACTAGGACTTGATATTCATCCAGACTTGCAGATATATATTTTTCGTTGGGCCGTTGATTATTGGCTTTTTTTATCCGTCTATTGTTTTTACTGTCAAGGGCAACCATCAAGGATTCGATCTCCATCCAGTATGACAGGTATACACTTTTCTTTGGGTTTCTACTTATCACTTGTTTTTTTTTGTCTAGTGTTTTCACCACCCAGGTGGAAGAACAAGGATTTCTTCTTCATCCACGGTTACAGGTATACAATTCTCTTTTAGCCTTTGCATAACGCTTGTTTGATTTTTCTAATTTCATTAATGTCTATGCTAAATAATAAGCATCTACTCTCCATCTAAGGCCATAGGTTTAAAAAATATTTTTAAGTATTATTTTACTATTTATTAATTAATTAATTATTATTTTTTAATTTTACACAGCCAAGGCCAATCGATCCAGGTTTACTGTTCTCTAGGGTAACAAGTATATGTACATACCTGATCGTTTACTTACTGCTTGTTGTTTCGAGTAATTTTTATTTAGTCAAACTGAATTACCAAAGTTTTACTATCTACCTAGTGCCCGAGGTATACAGGTCTCATTTAGTACTCACGTATCACTTATTATTCTGTCTAGCTTTTTTATAGTTTAAGCCAGCAATCGGGTTTTTAATCTCCATTAAGGATTAAAGGTATACATGACTATGTGAACCTTTACTTACTAGCTATTATATTTTCTAGTCTTTTTACAGGAAAGGCCCACAATTAATATGAGTTGTTTATCCGGGGGGGGGGGGGGGACAGGTATACAAATCTGCCAAAAAATCTACTTACTATATATTTGCATAATGTTTTTACAGCCGAAGCCAACGATCAAAGCTTTGATATTCTTTTGGGCTCACAGGTATAAAAGTCTCTTTGACTTTTTAGGTTCTATCAGTTGTTTTGTTCTAACCCTTTCTTCTCTGTAGCAAGCGTTCAATGCTCAGCTCTACATCAAAGGTCGCAGGTATACAAGAATCTTTAAGCAATTTACTAAAAATTAGATTTTCCTAGCGTTTACATAGTCAAGGCGAAATGATCATGTTCTTTCTATCCATTCAAGGTTCTAGGTACACACGCACATTTTAGCATTTATTCTTCACTGGTTGAATCTTTTTAATCTTTGACAGTCCATGCCGAGAATCAAGGTTGCACTTCAAAAAATAGGGTTAAGGTATACATGCCTTTTTAAGCATTTACTTACTACTAGTTGTATTATTCAGACTTTATACAGTCGAGACCAAAGATCAAGAGCCCGATTTCCGCATAGATTTACAGGGATACAAGTGGCTTTCTTTACCCATTAACATATTGATAGCTGTTTGAAGCAGTCTTTTTACAGTTCAATTCAACAGTCAAGGTTCAAATCCCCGTCAAAAATCACTGATATACTGCCACTTTTTAGTATTTACTTACTGCCAATTGTGTTTCTTTAGTCTACTCACAGAAAAGGCCAACAATCAAGATGCCACTCTCCTTCTTGGATGTTAGGTATACCAGTATCTTTGGGTATTTACCTATTACCAGCTTTAGTTCGGTAGTCTTTTCACAATTGAGGCCAACACCCAAGATTCCATAGTTCATGCAGGGTTACTGATATATATACCTCTTTGAGCATTTGCTTGGTGTCTGCTATATTTGTCTAGTCTTTTCATAGTCAAGGCTACTAATTGAGATTCCGCTGCTCATCTAGGGTAAAAGGTATATATGCTTTTTTTTTAATAGTTAATCATTGCTTGTTGAAATTGTCTAATAATTTTACAGTCAACGCTGATGATCAAGTTTCTGCTATTCGTCGAGGTAACAGGCGTACACCCTCCTTTGAATATCTTTCTGTCATCCATCATATTTATCTAGTCATACCATAGTCCACACCAAGGTTCAAGAGTTTAGTCTCCACCCAGGTTCACAGACATTCAAGTATAATTGCCCTTTTAGGACTGCCGGCTGCTATTGCCTATTGCTTTTAATATATAGGTCAAGGGATAAATTTCCTACTCTCAACCATGAGCCACAGGTATCACCGTTTATTTTGAACATTTATTTATTATCGATTACATTTGATTAGTATTTTAAATCCGAGTCTAACGATCAAGCTTCAGCTTTCCGGGAAGGGTTGAAGATATCCATGTATCTTTGATTTTTTTTAATATCGACTGAATTTCTCTGGCGTTTGCACATTCAAGTCCATTGATCAAGTCTTTGGTCATTATCAAGTTTCCACTCAACATTATTGGGTAAAGGTATATAAGATTCTTAGATTACTTTTTTACAGCCAATGACATTTATCAAGCGTTTTTAGAGTCCTGGTCAACGATCAAGATCCTGCTATTAATTCAACGTCTTAGATATATAAGTGTATTTAAATATTACTTTACTACTGATTCTATCTATTTAATCTTTTTTTTTCTTTTTCTTTTTTACATTCTATGCTAGCCCTCACGGCTCTAGTCTCCATCAAGGCTTATAGACATACAAGGTTTTTTTATTGGAATATGTTCTCACTATCAGTTTTAATTTTTCTAGTAATTTCACAGTTCATACCAACGATTAGGCGTCCGATTTCCATCCAGGGCTACAGGCATACATCTTTATTACACCATTTACTTACAGCCTGTTTTATATGTCCAGAATCTTCACAGCTCATGTCAACAGTCACGGTTTTGACCTACATCTCCAACCATAGGTATATATATATTTCCGAGAATTTACTTACTATTAGGTGTATTTTTCTAGTGTTTTCATAGTAAAGACCAACGATTAATATTCCGACATTTTCCTACAGTCATAGACATACAAGTCTCTTTGAGCCTTTAGTTACTTTAAGCTGTATATTCCCATACTTTTTACAGCAAAGACCAGCGATCAAGGTTTCACTCTCCATAAAAATCCTCAGGTATACAAAGCTCTTTAAATATTTTCTTACTATCAATTAGATTATTCTAGTGTTTACACAGTCAAAGCCAAACTATAAAGCCTCTGTTGCCCGTCCAAGTTCTCCAGTATATATATATATATATATATATATATATATATTGAGCATCTACTTACTGGTTGTTGTTTTTAGTTATCTTGACATAGTCAAAACCAACGATTAAGGTTTCACCATACATCCAGGGTATGAGATATACATGTCTCGTTTAGTATTTAGCTATCAACTATTATTTTGTCTAGCTTTTTTTTTATATATTTTAAGCCAACGATCAAGTTTTGAGTATTTATTCATGATCACAGGTATATATTTCTTTTTGAACATATACTTATTGTTGGCTTTCTTTTTTTAGTCTATTTACCACCAGGGCGAACGATCAATATTCTGCTGCCCATTTTGGGCTATATGTATACATGACTCTTTAAGCAGTTAATACTTGTCGCTTTTATTTGTCTAGTCTTTTAATCGCCAAGTCCAAAATTTATGGCTCTGCTCTACATCATGGGCCGTAGGTATACAAGTCTCTTTGTGAATCTATTCACTGATGGTTATAAATACTTATAATTTCACAGTTGGTGTCAAAGATCATTGTCTAACTCTTATTCATATGTTACAGGTATACATTGTTTAGTTGCCCATTTTTCTTTGAATGATGCTTGTATTTGCTTATTTTTTTTTCTCTTCGTAGTTTAGGTCAATTATCATGGTTCTATTCTTTATTAAGAATTAAAGACATAGGAGGAGTTTTTAAAATTTTCTCACTGAAAATTGTATTTACTAATTTTTTTTACAGCCAATACCAGGTATCAGTATTGTTCTGGGTAGTACTGAAAATGGGCAATGAGATACTGCACGAATCCTGGACCCCCATGGATGCTCGTCAAAAAGAGTTTGTATTCCAACATAATGCACTTTCCTCATACACCTTGTGGCAATCCTGGCACAAAACATATTTATGAACGCTTTTGTTCATGGATGAAAAATCCGTTTTGTGTTTGAGGCCAGAAATGTTCGATGGCAATTGTAAATTCTTCTCGTAAGTTGTCTAGAGCTTATTGATGAACTTTATCAGGATGACAGCGCCTTTGTTGGCCACATAGCGGGGAGCTAACATTACCACAAAAGTAGTAATGATCCTGTGCACTGGGTTCTCAGGCATATCGGGGGGGGGGGGGGGGGGGGGGCAAAAGGATCTATTGTAAAAAACCAAAAAAAAAATCATCTCCCTTTTTTTCAAATTTTTCTTTCTTCCATAGCACAACACCAACCTTCATTAACAAATTCCTCGACCTCCACCTTAACAACATCTTCATTATTGTTTTCTTTGTTTTCATCGCCATTGTCTTTGCTGTTGTGAATCTCCTCATTCGTAACTGGAACATTCTCATCGTCAGACACTGGGGTTCCTTCCCAAGCAAGTAAGTTGGTCTGACCACACTCTTCTTCCGTGGTTCTGGATTGACATGTTTAAATGGCTGTATTTAGAATATGTTACATAATTACGCTCTATTATTTTTATTTAAATAAATATTTCCTACGTTCAACATCAACCTCCATCGAATTTCTATGGGCAGAAGATTCTGTTAAAACATGTTATTTTTTGAACTACAGAAAAAGTAGAATATAATAGAATAATACTACAAACTGCGTACCACTTTCACATCTTATAGCATCTAATCTTGCTCTTTTGTTATGGCGCTGAGCAGTTCTTCCGGCTACAAAACTATAGACTAGTTCGTTCTGACTACATCCAGTGCAATAGCACTTTTTATTGTAAGGTTGAGGGGTTGAGAACATTGTGTTTTTTGTTAAAAAAATTGAGAAAAAGGAAACAGGTGCTACATGTACTTTATTCACAAAGTCTTTATAATAATAAATAGAATAACTTTTGTTGCTTGTTATATCCGAGCCAATAGAATACAGTAAAGCTGTGTTTTCAACTTGTGAACATGGAAAACTATCCCACATTTACAATTTTTATCAAACAACTGTGCGCATTGTAATTTCCACCCTTTTTTTCAGTGTGATCCGTTCTCAAACACAAGCAGTTATGACAGCTACGCCATTGAATATTGATGAGGGTACCTTCTCAATATCTAACCATCCAATTGCTAGCATGGTGCAGAGCTACATCCATATGCAGCCTGAAGTAGAGTATGTTTTGTCTTCAGTCGTGGAAGAGAAAGCTCGTAGACATCTTTCGTATAAAATTCACAGCGCAAAATCTATGTCGGAAAAGTTAGCTGGGCGTAATCGGTTTTCTTGTTGTCGAACAAGAAAGATAAGAGTAAGTATAATCCACGGTTTTTGTTTAAATAATTTTAACATTTTTTTTTTCTTTTTACAAAGAAGTGTCATTTTTTTTATTTAGAATTCCTAATTGTTGATATTATAACACAGATCAAAGAGTACTTTAGCAAGTTAAAAGGACGGAGAAATGATCAAAAAGAATAAAAGTCATTAGCTTTTCCAAGTGTCCAGCTATTCCAAGAAACGTCAAACTTTTGAAGGAGAGAAAGGTGCGTGTTGTTGCATGGAATAGCACACGGCATAATAAAAAAAGTACAGAGTATATAGTATTTTATTGATTTTTATTCATTGTTTTGAAAGATGTGGGTTGAATCGATAAAAGATGATGCGGTAGTAATGTCGAGATGGGAAGTAATAAATAAATAGTTATTTTATTTTATTTTACTTTATTTTACAGCCGATTAATGAAATATATATATATACAAAATAATTATTTAATTATACAATCTTGATTGTTTTATCCACGGTTTTTTTTCGTTGGAAATTGTAATATCGCTCTCTGTAAGTTTATTTTGATAAAAGCTAAGAAAATGGTGGGCATTGGGTATTAAATATACAGGTATTTTGTCTTTCATACTTTTGATAAAAACAATAAAAATAAATAACGGTTTTTACTATTCGTTGATAATAGAATTCAATATAATTTTAAATATTTGATAAAGAAGTAATGCTAAAACAAAAGAAAAATAGAGAGATAAATAAAGGCAAACCCTTTCGCAGTCAAAAAAACTCTTACTATAATTATTTATATTAGTAATATAAATAATTCTATTTTTATTCGTGACTACTTTTCTAGGCAGTGGGATGACTAGGCGCTTTTGGATCCCACCCTGGATGTTGTGCGTAGTCAACGCGAAATACGAATGCAGACGATGCACCGGGATGATGCACGCAATACTCTTCTTAATAAACCCACTCACCCACAAATTCAGACCTTACCCAACTAACGGCTTAATTCTGACAGAATGGCATGTCGCAAATCTTTTTAAAAAACCAAACGTTGACACTTTTGATTCTACCAATCTTGATGACAAGTAAATATGTACTCAATCTGACCAGGGAATTTAGAGATGTCGTCAACTATCCTACCAAAAAAAACATAACCCGCACAATTGAGCTGCGATATTTCTTCTGTTCACTAAAAAACTCCTGGCCAAGCA